AGTATCTTGGCTAGTTAGGCCCAAAAGTGAAACATGGGGAGAGAAGCTTAAGAGTATCGTTGAACCCCCCGACACAGTCTGAGCATATCTTAACACTTCTCCCCATCTTCCTCCCTCCTAGCTAGAAGCATGCCGATAGTGGTGCTCAGGGGGCTACATTTAGACAGGGAGGAAATGGTAGTCTGCACAATTCTACTAAGTAATTTCCTGTTACCCAGCCCACACTTCATCCAAGTGATCAATCCATTACGACACATTCTTCACTCTGCGATGCCCATACACAATCACTCTCCCTGGCTTGCCTAGCACACAGTGTAGACTGGGGCCTGATCAGGAGGATGTAACGTTACAGAACGTTTTTCTGTAGATAGAAACGTATGACGTAGAACAGATGATTGTCAGATAGAAATAGAATGAGTAGAGACACGATTCCCTATTCTATCTGCAACGTTTCACAGAACGTTCAGAACGTTTCACATCACTGAATACACCCCAGGTCCAATGCAGCTAGAAGGCTAAATAAGGCTAGCCTGAATAATATCATACTCCTGACCCAATGGCCGTGGTCTACAGTCCACTGTTAATAGTGGGAGCTGTTTAGGGAGATAGGGAGGGCTTCTCAGTGTTGATTCATAATTAACAAGCCTTGTGTTCTTCTGTAGCCGTCTCTGGCCTGTAGTGAAGTCAGCAACTCTTCCCCCTCCCCCAGCCTGCCGTCTGGTTAGGGTCAAACACAGGCCTTCGTCAGCTCCCATGACGCTCCAGGGCACACTTCGAAAACGATCAAGTATTTTGTCCAGAATTAATACTTGAGTTATCATGAATCATACATTATTCTGGTAGTAGTGGACTACCGATACAGTATCCAATTACTCTGCATGTTTCTTAAAGCTGAATAAACAAGCGGACATGAATCAATGAGTAGACATTCAAGCGCTGGCCTGCGGTTGCTCTTCATGTGTAATAACAGTGTGGGTAAAGAGAGAGCCAGAGAGAAAGTGCTTCAGAGCTCCAGTCCTGCTGGTGATGCTGGTGCTTCTGGCTGAAATGAGCCATCGGGCTGCTGTGGCGTGGAGCACCGACTCATATCTCCTCGCACTCCGCGTCAGGCCTAATCCTGGCTGGCGGCGACCCGGGCCTGCTTTCGCCTGATGACAGACCCCACCTTCTTATATCTGCCTGAGGGGGGTTTCAATTGCTGACGCACGGCGCCGAGACTGTCCCCTCCTTATGAGGTGATCTGGTTACATCCATTTGATATCTTGGTCTCTGCATGCATCGTGACTGTACCCCCTCCCTAAGATGTGTCCCCTCAAATCAAATTGTATTTGTCACATACGCCGAATACAACAGGCGTAGACCTTACCGTAAAATGCTTCCTTACAACCCCTTAACCAACAATGCAGTTAAGAAAATATTTACTAAATAAACTAAAGTAAAAAACTAAATAAAAAAGTAATAAAATAACAATGAGGCTATATACTGGGGGTACCGGTACAGAGTCAATGTGCGGGGGTACAGGTTAGTCGAGGTAATTTGTAGATGTAGGTAGGGGTAAAGTGACTATGCATAGATAAACAGTGAGTAGCAGCAGTGTAAAAACAAAAGGGGGGGGGGGGTAATCAATGCAAATAGTCCCGGTGGCCATTTAATTCATTGTTCAGCAGTCTTATGTTAAGGAGACTTTTGGACCTAGACTTGGCGCTCCAGTACCGCTTGCCGTGCGGTAGCAGAGAGAACAGTCTTTGACAATACCTAGTATGTAGATCCTGGATGGCAGGAAGCTTGGCCCGAGTGATGTACTGTGTCGTACGCGCTACCCTCTGTTGCGCCTTACGGTCGGAGGACTGAGCAGTTATATATAATAATAATAATAATAAATAATAATAATAATAATAATAATAATAATGCCATTTAGCAGACGCTTTTATCCAAAGCGACTTACAGTCATGCGTGCATACATTTTTGTGTATGGGTGGTCCCGGGGATCGAACCCACTACCTTGGCTTTACAAGCGCCGTGCTCTACCAGCTGAGCTACAGAGGACCCAGGCGGTGATGCAACCGGTCAGGATGCTCTTGATGGTGCAGCTGTAGAATTTTGAGGATCTGGGGACCCATGCCAAGTATCCTGAGGGGGAAAATGCATTGTTGTGCCCTCTTCACGACTTTCTTGGTGTGTTTGGACCATGATAGTTTGTTGGTGATGTGGACACCAAGGAACTTGAAACTCACGTCCCGCTCAACTAAAGCCCCGAATGGGGGCGTGTTCGGCCCTCCTTTTCTTGTAGTCCACAATCATCTCCTTTGTCTTGCTCACGTTGAGGGAGAGGTTGTCCTGGCACCACACGGCCAGGTCTCTGACCTCCTCCCTATAGGCTGTCTCATCGTTGTCGGTGATCAGGCCTACCACCTTTGTGTCATCAGCAAACTTGATGGTGTTGGAGTCGTGCTTGGCCACGCAGTCGTGGGTGAACAGTGAGTACAGGAGGGGACTAAGCATGCACCCCTGAGGAGCCCCGTGTTTAGGATCAGCGTGGCAGATGTGTTGCCTACCCTTACCACCTGGGGGCTTCCCGTCAGGAAGTCCAGGATCCAGTTGCAGAGGGAGGTGTTTATTCCCAGGGTCCTTAGCTTAGTGATGAGCTTTGTGGGCACTATGGTGTTGAACACTGAGCTGTAGTCAATGAACAGCATTCTCACATAGGTGTTCCTTTTGTCCAGGTGGGAAAGGGCAGTGTGGAGTGCGATTGAGATTGCATCAGCTGTGGATCTGTTGGGGCGGTATCCGAATTGGAGTGGGTCTAGGGTTTCCAGGATGATGGTGTTGATGTGAGCCATGACTAGCCTTTCAAAGCACTTCATGGCTACCGACATGAGTGCTACGGGGCGGTAGTCATTTAGGCAGGTTACCTTCGCTTTCTTGGGCACAGGGACTATGGTGTTCTGCTTGAAACATGTCGATATTACAGACTCGGCCAGGCAGAGGTTGAAAATGTCAGTGAAGACAGTTGGTCCGCGCATGCTCTGAGTACACGTCCTGGTAATCAGTCGGGCCCCGCGGCCTTGTGAATGTTGACCTGTTTAAAGGTCTTGCTCACATCGGCTACTGAGAGCGTGATCACACAGTCGTCCGGACAAGCTGTTGATCTCATGAATGCTTCAGTGTTGCTTGCCTCGAAGCAAGCATAAATGGCATTTAGCCCATCTGGTAGGCTTGTGTCACTGGGCAGCTCGCGGCTGGGTTTCCCTTTGTAGTCCGTAATAGTTTGCAAACCCTGCCACATCCGACGAGTGTCAGAGCCGGTGTAGTAGGATTCAATCTTAGTCCTGTATTGACGCTTTGCCTGTTTGATGGCATAGTGAGATTTCTTATAAGCGTCCAGATTAGTCTCCCGCTCCTTCAAAGCGGCAGCTCTAGCCTTTAGCTCGGTGCAGATGTTACCTGTAAACCATGGCTTCTGGTTGGGATATGTACGTACGGTCACTGTGGGGAAGATGTCGTTGATGCACTTATTGAGCAAGTCACTGGTACTTCCTGCTTTAGTTTTTGCTTGTAAGCGGGAATCAGGAGGATAGAATTATGGTCAGATTTGCCAAATGAGGGTGAGCTTTGTATGAGTCTCTGTGTGTGGAGTAAAGGTGGTCTATAGTTCTTTTTTCCTTCTGGTTACACATGTGACACCTGCACATGTGACATGCTGGCAGAAATTAGGTAAAACGGATGCAAGTTTGCCTGCATTAAAGTCCCCGGCCACTAGGAGCGCCGCTTATGGATGAGCATTTTCTTGTTTGCTTATGGCCTTATACAGCTCATCGAGTGCGGTCTTAGTGCCAGTGTCAGTTTGTGGTGGTAAATAAACGGCTATGAAAAATATAGATACATTTTCTTGGTAGATAGTGTGGTCTACAGCTTATCATGAGGTATGCTTTCGTTTACCCTACCTCATTTAGCCTGGCTGGGAGAACACCGATGCTTACTCACTGGAAATATTAGCCTGTTGGTTTCCATTCTCTCACACACCGTCAGAAACAAGAAAACACAAACTCAATCCATCCACACACGTTTTATGAAAGCCGTTTGACATGTCGGAGCTCCCCAGATACAGAGACCAGGGACATAAAAAAAAGCACAATATCAGGAGGTAACGAAATAAATGTTCATATTGTGCTTCTACCCTCATTTCACAGCAGTTTGGTGCGTTTTCAGAGGGAGGTAGGGAGAGAGAGAGAGAGAAAGAGAGAGGCAGAGAGGGAAGTGATATGAGACTCCACAGAGCTTACTATTAGAGAACTGAGACATCTGTAATTTCTATGTGGCTGCACCACAGGTACCTCACTGTGCTGGCATACCACGATAACAGATAGCAGCTGGGAAAGCGTGAGCTGAATGAAAACTAATACCACACACAGTGAGTGAGTGAGTGAGTGACTCTACTCCACAAGGCAGTGCCCAATCATATTCTGTATGTACACAGTTCTGTCTGAAAAAAAAATATGGCCCAAATCACTGCTATGACTTGACTGTGATAGTAGTGACTGTGTACTATGAGTAAGTTTTTTAATAATTTGACAAAGATCACCTATCAAAGCATAGATAATCTATCTGCTCTTATGAATCCAAAATGGCAGCATTACAGGACTGTAAAAGCAGCTCCTTGGTGTCCAGGAAAAGAGTTGGCACTGCACCACCACTCCCCTCACTACAGCAGTTGGTGAATGCCAGGACAGAGGGGGTGTCACATTCAGCCACTGGATCATCATCAACTCAGTGTGTTCCAGAGCTGAGCGAGGTGGGTGTGTATATAGAGCTGGGGCTAGCTAGTGGGAGGGTTACAAATAAACAACAGCAGTGTTGTGTGATGATGTCTGGGAACATTCCAGCTCCCTCCACACAGAACAGAACAGAGGGTTTGGGCAGGCATGGCCAGATAGTTACTGAACATTGAGCCTTTATTGCATTCTTTTGTCATACAGGAGTTACCTCATCAGCAGTTACACGTCACACAGAACTTCGAACACAGCAATGGCACTGACCAGTGTAAAGACAGCTCTGTGCATGCGTGTGCGCACGCGGTGAGGCATTACCTTTTCTAACAGGATCTTGACGCAGGAGAGGTGACCCTCGTACGTGGCAGAGAGCAGCGGAGTGATACCATGTTTGTCTGGGGCCTGTGGGAGACCAAAGAAAGAGAGTGAACAAAAGGAGAGAGCGGGTTTGTGTGTGGATGGGTGTCATACATCAGCAGACCACAGGGTCGTCCCTGCCTCCAACACAAGGGCACATCACATCACTCTCATTATCAGAGGAAATAACTCAGAGAGAGAGGGAGCACTTTTATTTCTCTCCTTATCATGTCAATGAATTACTGAGAGGAAATCTACTCTGCCACTGTATTTATCTCCCCTGTTTCAGGAGCTCTGGCTAGGGCCCCTTATCTGAAGGGACTGGGAGGGAGACAGGGACTCTTGTTAGTGAAACCAGATTAGAGAGAAAGCAAAATGGTGAAGTTGGAGTGAATGAGAAGTGTGGTGGTGATCAGACCATGAGGCGGATAATGGAGGTTGGGAGAGGACATGGCTCTACAGACTGTGTGCAGTGAGAGTTAGGCCTAGTTAACGAGCTCTCCAAATTCACCACAGGTACATTAAGGTCAGAACTTCCTGTTCTAGCAAGTGTCGCCTGAACGGTCAACACGTGTCTGTGTGAAACTAACTATAACGTCTTGGGTCAGTGAGAGGCCAGTGACACCCATAAGCACGTTCAGGCTTGTGTGGCAATATTGAGGGCCTGAGGGGATTGAGACCAAAGTATAGCTTTGAATAAGGTTACGAAATTTCTAATATTATTATTAAGAACAGTTGCACACCGAGGCTACCTAAAAAGATACAAGAACAAAACGGTACAATACAATCTTCTTCCCTAACTTGTAAATGCCACAACCATCACTACTCTACTCCATTGTAAAAGCAGATCGATTCCCTCCACTGCAGTGTGGTGTGGTAATGGGATGAGGCTCGGGAGCATTCTGACAGAGTATGTGGTCTGGCCAGTTAGACTGTGCTGCTCTCTGCACACTGAGGGAATAGATTTGGGAGATGGCTTCAGGAGAATGACAGGTCCCTTCATAACGGAGGAATCCCATTGGTCCAAACATAGACCTGCACCACTCTCCACGTCTGAACAACACTAGCTGAGTCTACAGTAGTTAAGTCCATGTCAGTCTCAGTCGTTACTACAGTATGTGATTGACTATAGTAGAAGCATTGTATGAGTGGAATCAGAATAAGGGAGTGTTGTTCTCTCTGGTACCATTAGGTCTATTCAATAAGCAAATTAATGCAAACACAGAAGGGAAAATACATCATTCCTTCCTTCTTATCCTTGGTCATCAGTAATAACTGATCTGTCTAACGTGAGCAGATAGGTGAAAGTGAGGCCTACCACCATAGCCTTCTTCCATATCAGTACCAGATATCAGTAATAATCAAATGAAGAGAGGAATGACTGATATTAGAATACTGCTGTTAAATACTAACTGTGTAACAGCAGTAGGCCTATATTAACAGCAGTATTCTAATAACTGTATTACAGCAGTAGGCCTATATTAACAGCAGTATTCTAATAACTGTATTACAGCAGTAGGCCTATATTGATAGCAGTATTCTAATAACTGTATTACAGCAGTAGGCCTATATTGATAGCAGTATTCTAATAACTGTATTACAGCAGTAGGCCTATATTAACAGCAGTATTCTAATAACTGTATTACAGCAGTAGGCCTATATTGATAGCAGTATTCTAATAACTGTATAACAATAGTAGGCCTATATTGATTGCAGTATTCCCACTAGCAGCTCTTACGTTGACATCTGCTCCCTTGGAGAGGAGGAACTCCAGCATCTCAGCCTGGCCACAGTCAGCAGCGTAGTGCAGGGGCTTCCTGCCTCCCTCCAGGGTTCTGTTCACATCCTCATCCTAAAAACACAAGGTTAAGATACCATCATCACCTACACAACTTCCCCTCCTGTATCAAGACTTGGTCACCAGCTTGCTAAAAAGGAACAAACACTTATTTCACACAGTTAATACAATCGCATATAATGGAAATCCCCCTCCTCTTAGTTCAAAACACACACACAGAGACAGCGTTGTCAGTGCCATGTCATACCATAGCACCTTTATTTTTAGCTGGCTCTGTGGCCTGAGGAAAGAGAGGACTGAAATGTATTCACCTGCTAAGCATCCTGCTATGCAGCAGAAACCCACCCTGTTAGCTTTGAATGACTTTCTATGGTACCTGGCTAGCTACAGGACAAAGAGGGGGAATACAGAAATGGATTCCCAGACAGTAGCTCTATAGGTCACCTATACTTTAGCTAGGACCTACGCTGTACCCATGAACATGAAGCAGTACCTACTCTGAGCTTGTGTGTGAATGAGACATATCTTATTATAGGAAGCAAGAGTGTGATGGAGTGACACTGGTGCTGGGGTTGACAGAGGGCATGGCTATCCTTCGTCTCTGTGTTGGTCACCAGCAGATCTGATAAGACTCAGATTTTTCACTTTAAAGCGTATGCCAAACAAACAAAAAATTGATTTAAAAGTTTAACAAAATCATACAGCTCTATGCACAATGACTACCTTGAACAATTTACACAGTGAATATAATAAACCAATAAAAAAAGATTTAAAATGCAAAGTTCTGTAACAGAATTACGGTAAAATCTCCCTCAGCTTTGTTCAGTTACCAAACTTTGTTTTTGCATAGTTCTTCCAGTAAATGCGATTTTGTAAAATGTTCTGCAGAAATAGTTAAAAGCAGGAAAGTCCTTGTGCATAGAGTTGAATGGTTTGTTAAACTTTGAAATTAATGTTTTTTGTTTGGTACACATTTTAGTGAAAAATCGGACCCTCCGCATAATTCCATTACTGCGGAACTGCCCTAAGGCAACAAGCCTATCAGGGGATGAGTCAGGGTCTGGGCTAGTCTTTAGCTGTGCCGGCCGGGCGTGATAATCAATCTGGCTCAGAAAAGGTCACAGCCAGGCTTTGGGTAATGCTACCACCACTCACCTGCTCTCAAAAGCTTAGGCTAGACAGCACAGTGATCCAGCCCTTGCTGCAATTTATCGGATTCCTGAAGCTTGATAGGTCTCCATAGCTCTGGTAAAAAGGTATCTTATGTCCATCCATGTGTTGTAATCACAGTTTACACGGCCCTCTACTCTCCTGTGAGTTAGGCTAATGTAGCCTGGTGAGAAGGGTTCCTATTGGACAAACTGAGACAGCAGTTGCAGACACTAGTTGCCCTTCCTGCAGTTCAAATATCAATACATTTGAATGACATAAGCATAACTGCTTTCCCCCACAGTGATATGTGTGGTCAAACTGCTCTCGTCACTAGCTGTATGACTGGCTATATATGCACCAATCACCCCACAGAGCCCCACCGGTCCTCCAGGAGCTGGATGATATGGTGCCAATTTAAATGGTTTCATTAGGGTTGAGGGGTAAGGGAAAACACAGTGGATCGCAGTCTGTAATATCCACATGTGCAGTAATCCATCTCCGCAATTTAATAGCCCAGATCTGAAACATTTCCATCCTATTGCAATTTAATTGTAATCTGGGATTATTGGGCTGGGTTTACACAGGCAGCCCAATTCTGATCTTTTGGTCAATTACTGGCAAAACATCTGATCTGATTGGTCAAAAGACAAATTAGTGGCAAAAGATCAGAAGAATTGGGTTGCCTGTGTAAACGCAGCCTTGGAGATCAATATGAGTAATGCAGCACCTCAGTGCATTAGTAATGTTATTGCTTGCCAAAATCAGTAAATTTTTGAACTAGCCGTACCTCCTCTGACTTTGATTAGACTCAATTACCAAAAGCTGAAAGGAAAGCACAGCCTAAATACTGACCACCCTAATGGTTAGGGCTAGGCTATTTCACAGAAGTTAGCTAATCAACTGGTAGGTCTATAAAGATAGATTGTCTAGCTCCTAGCCTACTGTAGAAACAAAATGCATAAAAGGCATGTTGCTTTCACACAGGAGTTCTGCAGGCCTAACGATTCATCAGTGTGGTAAGGCTTTGAACAAGAGTTAGCCTCCTGAGTTATTTTAAGGTGTTCAACCTACACCAGACTGGCTAAACCTTAAACCACAAGCTGTGTTTCAGTATAATTTCCCCTTACTTTACAAATAGATCCAATGCTTAGATACCTTCCTGATGTACTGTGCATTCGGGAAGTATTCAGACACTTTCTTCCACATTTTGTTTTGTTACAGCCTTATTCTAAAATGGATTACATTAATTTTGTATCAATCTACACACAATACCCCATAATGACAAAGCGAAAACAGGGTTAGAAATGTTTGCAAATTAATTAAAAATAAAAACAGAAATACCTTATTTACATTAGTATTCAGACCTTTTGCTATGAGACTCAATTGAGCTCAAGTGCATCATGTTTCTATTGATTGGACATTATTTGGAAAGGCACACACACACCTGTCTATATACAGTGCCTTGCAAAAGTATTCATCCCCCTTGGCATTCTTCCTATTTTGTTGCATTACATCATGTAATTAAATTTATTTTATTTGGATTTCATGTAATGGACATACACAAAATAGTCCAAATTGGTGAAGTGAAAAAAAAAAAAACGTGTTTCAAAAAAATTATACAAAATAAATCACGGAAAAGCTGTGCGTGCATATTGGGGAAAGCAAAGGGGAAAAAAACAACCATGAAGGTAATAGCATGTTGAAGTGAAAGGCTTAACAAGAAATTCCCTACATAAGTAAATTGTTGAGTTGCCGAAGGTCAACACGTTCGGGGCAACCGTCTGGTCGAGGGCAGTGACCCTAAGCAAGGCTGGGGGAAAACAGGGAGAACAAATATATTTTAAAAAACGGAAGTGCACAACGAGGAAAATCTCCAATTTCTCCCAACTTTGTAAATGCCAAAACCCATCACTACTTACTCAATTTGTAAAACCAGATCGATTCCCTCACGCAGTGTGTAAGGATGAGGCTCGGGAGATTCGGACAGAGTATGTGGTCTGGCCTTAGATGGCGCTCTCTGCACATGAGGGAATAGATTGGGAGATGGGCTTCAGGAGAATGACAAGGTCCTAAATAAGGGAGGAATCCATTGGTCCAAAATAGAACTGCACCATCTCCACGTCTGAACAACACTAGCTGAGTCTACAGTAGTTAAGCATGTCAGTCCAGTCGTTACTACATTTTAGTGATTGACTATAGTAGAAAGCTTTGTAGGTGGAATCAGATAAGGAGTGTTTTCTCTCTGGTACCTTTGGCCCTATTCAATAAGCAAATTAATGCAAACACAGAAGGGAAAATACATCATTCCTTCCTTCTTATCCTTGGTCATCAGTAATAACTGATCTGTCTAACGTGAGCAGATAGGTGAAAGTGAGGCCTACCACCATAGCCTTCTTCCATATCAGTACCAGATATCAGTAATAATCAAATGAAGAGAGGAATGACTGATATTAGAATACTGCTGTTAAATACTAACTGTGTAACAGCAGTAGGCCTATATTAACAGCAGTATTCTAATAACTGTATTACAGCAGTAGGCCTATATTAACAGCAGTATTCTAATAACTGTATTACAGCAGTAGGCCTATATTGATAGCAGTATTCTAATAACTGTATTACAGCAGTAGGCCTATATTGATAGCAGTATTCTAATAACTGTATTACAGCAGTAGGCCTATATTAACAGCAGTATTCTAATAACTGTATTACAGCAGTAGGCCTATATTGATAGCAGTATTCTAATAACTGTATAACAATAGTAGGCCTATATTGATTGCAGTATTCCCACTAGCAGCTCTTACGTTGACATCTGCTCCCTTGGAGAGGAGGAACTCCAGCATCTCAGCCTGGCCACAGTCAGCAGCGTAGTGCAGGGGCTTCCTGCCTCCCTCCAGGGTTCTGTTCACATCCTCATCCTAAAAACACAAGGTTAAGATACCATCATCACCTACACAACTTCCCCTCCTGTATCAAGACTTGGTCACCAGCTTGCTAAAAAGGAACAAACACTTATTTCACACAGTTAATACAATCGCATATAATGGAAATCCCCCTCCTCTTAGTTCAAAACACACACACAGAGACAGCGTTGTCAGTGCCATGTCATACCATAGCACCTTTATTTTTAGCTGGCTCTGTGGCCTGAGGAAAGAGAGGACTGAAATGTATTCACCTGCTAAGCATCCTGCTATGCAGCAGAAACCCACCCTGTTAGCTTTGAATGACTTTCTATGGTACCTGGCTAGCTACAGGACAAAGAGGGGGAATACAGAAATGGATTCCCAGACAGTAGCTCTATAGGTCACCTATACTTTAGCTAGGACCTACGCTGTACCCATGAACATGAAGCAGTACCTACTCTGAGCTTGTGTGTGAATGAGACATATCTTATTATAGGAAGCAAGAGTGTGATGGGAGTGACACTGGTGCTGGGGTTGACAGAGGGCATGGCTATCCTTCGTCTCTGTGTTGGTCACCAGCAGATCTGATAAGACTCAGATTTTTCACTTTAAAGCGTATGCCAAACAAACAAAAAATTGATTTAAAAGTTTAACAAAATCATACAGCTCTATGCACAATGACTACCTTGAACAATTTACACAGTGAATATAATAAACCAATAAAAAAAGATTTAAAATGCAAAGTTCTGTAACAGAATTACGGTAAAATCTCCCTCAGCTTTGTTCAGTTACCAAACTTTGTTTTTGCATAGTTCTTCCAGTAAATGCGATTTTGTAAAATGTTCTGCAGAAATAGTTAAAAGCAGGAAAGTCCTTGTGCATAGAGTTATGGTTTGTTAAACTTTGAAATCAATGTTTTTTGTTTGGTACACATTTTAAAGTGAAAATTCGAACCCTCCGCATAATTCCATTACTGCGGAACTGCCCTAAGGCAACAAGCCTATCAGGGGATGAGTCAGGGTCTGGGCTAGTCTTTAGCTGTGCCGGCCGGGCGTGATAATCAATCTGGCTCAGAAAACGGTCACAGCCAGGCTTTGGGTAATGCTACCACCACTCACCTGCTCTCAAAAGCTTAGACTAGACAGCACAGTGATCCAATGGATGCCCTTGCTGCAATTTATTGTATTCCTGAAGCTTGATAGGTCTCCATAGCTCTGGTAAATGTAGCTTATGGTCCATCCATGTGTTGTAATCACAGTTTACATGGCCCTCTCTACTCTCCTGTGAGTTAGGCTAATGTAGCCTGGTGAGAAGGGTTCCTATTGGTTAAACTGGAGACAGCAGTTGCAGACACTAGTTGCCCTTCTTGCAGTTCAAATATGAATACTATGAATGACATAAGCATAACTGCTTTCCACCACAGTGATATGTGTAGTCAAACTGCTCGCGTCACTAGCTGTATGACTGGCTATATATGCACCAATCACCCACAGAGCCCCACCGGTCCTCCAGGAGCTGGATGATATGGTGCCAATTTAAATGGTTTCATTAGGGTTGAGGGGTAAGGGAAAACACAGTGGATCGCAGTCTGTAATATCCACATGTGCAGTAATCCATCTCCGCAATTTAATAGCCCAGATCTGAAACATTTCCATCCTATTGCAATTTAATTGTAATCTGGGATTATTGGGCTGGGTTTACACAGGCAGCCCAATTCTGATCTTTTGGTCAATTACTGGCAAAACATCTGATCTGATTGGTCAAAAGACAAATTAGTGGCAAAAGATCAGAAGAATTGGGTTGCCTGTGTAAACGCAGCCTTGGAGATCAATATGAGTAATGCAGCACCTCAGTGCATTAGTAATGTTATTGCTTGCCAAAATCAGTAAATTTTTTGAACTAGCCGTACCTCCTCTGACTTTGATTAGACTCAATTACCAAAAGCTGAAAGGAAAGCACAGCCTAAATACTGACCACCCTAATGGTTAGGGCTAGGCTATTTCACAGAAGTTAGCTAATCAACTGGTAGGTCTATAAAGATTAGATTGTCTAGCTCCTAGCCTACTGTAGAAACAAAATGCATAAAAGGCATGTTGCTTTCACACAGGAGTTCTGCAGGCCTAACGATTCATCAGTGTGGTAAGGCTTTGAACAAGAGTTAGCCTCCTGAGTTATTTTAAGGTGTTCAACCTACACCAGACTGGCTAAACCTTAAACCACAAGCTGTGTTTCAGTATAATTTCCCCTTACTTTACAAATAGATCCAATGCTTAGATACCTTCCTGATGTACTGTGCATTCGGAAAGTATTCAGACACTTTCTCCACATTTTGTTTTGTTACAGCCTTATTCTAAAATGGATTACATTAATTTTGTATCAATCTACACACAATACCCCATAATGACAAAGCGAAAACAGGGTTAGAAATGTTTGCAAATTAATTAAAAATAAAAACAGAAATACCTTATTTACATTAGTATTCAGACCTTTTGCTATGAGACTCAATTGAGCTCAAGTGCATCATGTTTCTATTGATTGGACATTATTTGGAAAGGCACACACACACCTGTCTATATACAGTGCCTTGCAAAAGTATTCATCCCCCTTGGCATTCTTCCTATTTTGTTGCATTACATCATGTAATTAAAATTTATTTTTATTTGGATTTCATGTAATGGACATACACAAAATAGTCCAAATTGGTGAAGTGAAAAAAAAAAAACGTGTTTCAAAAAAATTATACAAAATAAATCACGGAAAAGCTGTGCGTGCATATGTATTCACCCCTTTTGCTATGAAGCTCCTAAATAAGATCTGGTGCAACCAATTACCTTCAGAAGTCACATAGTTAAATAAAGTCCACCTGTGTGCAAGCTAAGTGTCACATGATCTCATACACACACAAGTTCTGAAAGGCCCCAGAGTCTGCAACACCACTAAGCAAGCGGCACCACCAAGCAAGCAGCACCATGAAGACCAAGGAGCTCTCCAAACAGGTCAGGGACAAAGTTGTGGAGAAGTACAGATCAGGGTTCTTTCTGAATCTTTGAACATCCAATGGAGCACCATTAAATCCATTATTTAAAAAATAGAAAGAATATGGCACCACAACAATCCTGCCAAGAGAGGGCCGCCCACCAAAACTCACAGGCAAGGAGGGCATTAATCAGGGCGGCAGGTAGCTTAGTGGTTAAGAGCATAGTGCCAGTAACCGAAAGGTCGCTGGTTCTAATCCCCGAGCCGACTAGGTGAAAAATCTGTCGATGTGCCCTTGAGCAAGGCACTTAACCCTAATTGCTCCTGTAAGTCGCTCTGGATAAGAGCGTCTGCTAAATGACTAAAAAAAAAAAATCAAAAAAATCAAAGAGGCAACAAAGAGACCAAAAATAACCCTGAAGGAGCTGCAAAGCTCCACAGCGGAGATTGGAGTATCTGTCCATAGGACCACTTTAAGCCGTACACTCCACAGAGCTGGGCTTTACGGAAGAGTGGCCAGAAAAACGTCATTGCTTAAAGAAAAAATATATATACACAACACGTTTGGTGTTTACCAAAAGCCATGTGGGAGACTCCCCAAACATGGAAGAAGGTACTCTGGTCAGATGAGACTAAAATTGAGCTTTTTGGCCATCAAGGAAAACGTTGTGTCTGGCGCAAACCCAACACCTCTCATCACCCCGAGAACACCATCCCCACAGTGAAGCATGGTGGTGGCAGCATCATGCTGTGGGGATGTTTTTCCATCGGCAGGGACTGGGAACCTGGTCAGAATTGAAGGAATGATGGATGGCGCTATATACACAGGGAAATTCTTGAGGGAAACCTGTTTCAGTCTTCCAGAGATTTGACACTGGGACGGAGGTTCACCTTCCAGCAGGATAATGACCCTAAGCATAAAGCAACACTCGAGTGGTTTAAGGGGAAACATTTAAATGTTTTTTGAAATGGCCTAGTCAAAGCCCAGACCTCAATCCAATGGAGAATCTGTGGTATGACTTTAGGATTGCTGTACACCAGCGGAACCCATCCAACTTGAAGGAGCTGGAGCAGTTTTGCCTTGAAGAATGGGCAAAAATCCCAGTGGCTAGATGTGCCAAGCTTATAGAGCCATACCCCAAGAGACTTGCAGCTGTAATTGCTGCAAAAGGTGGCTCTACAAAGTATTGACTTTGGGGGGGGGGGGGGTGAATAGTTACGCACGCTCAAGTTCTATTTTTTTCACACAAAAAAATATTTTGCATCTTCAAAGTGGTAGGCATGTTGTGTAAATCAAATGATACAACCCCCCCCCCCCAAAAAAATCAAATTTTAATTCCAGGTTGTAAGGCAACAAAATAGGAAAAATGCCCAGGGGGGTGAATACTTTTGCAAGCCACCGTAAAAGGTCCCACAGTTGACAGTGCATGTCAGAGCATAAACCAAGCCATGAGGTCGAAGGAACGGTCCGTAGAGCACAGAGACAGGTTTTTGTCGAGGCACAGATCTGGGGAAGGGTACCAAAAAATGTCTGCAGCATTTAAGGTCCCCAAGAACACAGTGGCCACCATCATTCTTAAATGGAATACGTTTGGAACCACCAAGACTTTTCCTAGAGCCACTCCTCAGTAAAAGGCACAACAGCCCTAAAGGACTCTCAGACCATGAGAAACAAGATTCTCTGGTCTGATGAAACCAAGATTGAACTCTTTGGCCTGAATGCCAAACGTCACGTCTGAAGGAAACCTGGCTCCATCCCTACGGTGAAGCATGGTGGTGGCAGCATGCTGTGGGGATGTTTTTCAGCGGTAGGGACTGGGAACGGTAATGCCGAATGCATTACCGGGGGCAAACTACCCGCCCTCCAAGACACATACAGCACCCGATGTCACAGGAAGGCCAAAAAGATCATCAAGGACATCAACCACCCGAGCCACTGCCTGTTCACCCCGCTATCATCCATAAAGCGAGGTCAGTACAGGTGCATCAAAGCTGGGACCGAGAGAATGAAAAACAGCTTCTATCTCAAGGCCATCACTGTTAAATAGCCATCACTAGCACATTAGAGGCTGCTGCTGCCTATTGAAATCACCGGCAACATTAAGAAATGGAACACTAGTCACTTTAATAATGTTTACATATCTTGCACTACTCATCTCATTTGTACATACTGCATTCTATAATATTATTCTGTATCTTAGTCCATGCCGCTCTGTCATTGCTTGTCCATATATATGTATATATTCTTAAATCCCATTCATTACTTTTTTGTGTTAGATATTACTGTACTGTCGGAGCTAGAAACACAAGCATTTCGCTACACCCGCTATAACATCTGCTAAACACGTGTATGTGAGAAATACAATTTGATTTGACTAGTCAGGATCAAGGCAAAGATGAAATGAGCAAAGTGCAGAGAGATCCTTGATGAAAACTTGCTCCAGAGTCCTCAGGACCTCAGACTGGGGCGAAGGTTCACTTTCCAACAGGACAACGACCCTAAGCACACAGCCAAGACAACGCAGGAGTGGCTTCGGGAAAAGTCTATGAATGTCCTTGAGTGGCCTATCCAGAGCTCGGACTTGAACCCGATCGAACATCTCTGGAGAGGCATGAAAATAGTTGTGCAGTGACGCTCCCCATCCAACCCGACAGAGCTAGGAGAGGATCTGCAGAGAAGAAACACCCCAAATACAGGTGTGCCAAGAAGACTCAAGGCTGTAGTTGCTGCCAAAGGTGCTTCAACAAAGTACTGAGTAAAGGGTCTGAATACTTATGTAAATGAAAAAATTATCTTCGGAGATGTCTAAAAAAAAACGGTTTTGCTTTGTCATTATGGGGTATTTTGTGTAGATTGATGAGAAAAAAATGTGTCATCCATTTCAATCAATCAATCAATCAATTTTATTTTATATAGCCCTTCTTACATCAGCTAATATCTCGAAGTGCTGTACAGAAACCCAGCCTAAAACCCCAAACAGCTAGTAATGCAGGTGTAGAAGCACGGTGGCTAGGAAAAACTCCCTAGAAAGGCGAAAGCCTAGGAAGAAACCTAGAGAGGAACCAGGCTATGAGGGGTGGCCAGTCCTCTTCTGGCTGTGCCGGGTGGAGATTATAACAGAACCATGCCAAGATGTTCAAAAATGTTCATAAGTGACAAGCATGGTCAAATAATAATCAGGAATAAATCTCAGTTGGCTTTTCATAGCCGATCATTAAGAGTTGAAAACAGCAGGTCTGGGACAGGTAGGGGTTCCATAACCGCAGGCAGAACAGTTGAAACTGGAATAGCAGCAAGGCCAGGCGGACTGGGGACAGCAAGGAGTCACCACGGCCGGTAGTCCCGACGTATGGTCCTAGGGCTCAGGTCTCTCAGTTGGCTTTTCATAGCCGATCATTAAAGAGTTGAAAACAGCAGGTCTGGGACAGGTAGGGGTTTCGTAGCCGCAGGCAGAACAGTTGAAACTGGAATAGCAGCAAGGCCAGGCGGACTGGGGACAGCAAGGTGTCATCATGCCCGGTAGTCCTGACGTATGGTCCTAGGGCTCAGGTTCTCAGAGAGAAAGAGAGAACGAGAGAATTAGAGAGAGCATACTTAAATTCACACAGGACACTGGATAAGACAGGAGAAGTACTCCAGGTATAACCAACTAACCCCAGCCCCCCGACACATAAACTACTGCAGCATAAATACTGGAGGCTGAGACAGGAGCGGTCCGGAGACACTGTGGCCCCATCCGAAGAAACCCCCGGACAGGGCCAAACAGGAAGGATATAACCCCACCCACTCCGCCAAAGCACAGCCCCCGCACCACTAGAGGGATATCCCCAACCACCAACTTACAATCCTGAGACAAGGCCGAGTATAGCCCACAGAGGTCTCCACCACAGCACAAACCAAGGGGGGGGCGCCAACCCAGACAGGAAGATCACGTCAGTAACTCAACCCACTCAAGTGACGCACCCCTCCCAGGGACGGCATGAAAGAGCACCAGCAAGCCAGTGACTCAGCCCCTGCAACAGGGTTAGAGGCAGAGAACCCCAGTGGAGAGGGGAACCGGCCCGGCAGAGACAGCAAGGGCTGTTCGTTGCTCCAGCCTTTCCGTTCACCTTCACACTCCTGGGCCAGACTACACTCAATCATATGACCTACTGAAGAGATAAGTCTTCAGTAAAGACTTAAAGGTTGAGACCGAGTCTGCGTCTCTCACATGGGTAGGCAGACTGTTCCATAAAAATGGAGATCTATAGGAGAAAGCCCTGCCTCCCGCTGTTTGCTTAGAAATTCTAGGGACAATTAGGAGGCCTGCGTCTTGTGACCGTAGCGTACGTATTGGTATGTACGGCAGGACCAACTCGGAAAGATAGGTAGGAGCAAGCCCATGTAACGCTTTATAGGTTAACAGTAAAACCTTGAAATCAGCCCTTGCCTTAACAGGAAGCCAGTGTAGGGAAGCTAGCACTGGAGTAATATGATCAAATTTCTTGGTTCTAGTCAGGATTCTAGCAGCCGTATTTAGCACTAACTGAAGTTTATTTAGTGCTTTATCCGGGTAGCCGGAAAATAGAGCATTGCAGTAGTCTAACCTAGAAGTAACAAATGCATGGATTAATTTTTCTGCATCATTTTTGGACAGAATATTTCTGATTTTTGCAATGTTACGTAGATGGAAAAAAGCTGTCCTTGAAACAGTCTTGATATGTTCGTCAAAAGAGAGATCAGGGTCAAGAGTAACACCGAGGTCCTTCACAGTTTTATTTGAGACGACTTTACAACCATCTAGATGAATTGGTCATTTTCGATTAAGGCTGTAACGTAACAATGTGGAAAAAGTCAAGGGGTCTGAATACTTTCCGAATGCAGTGTACGCACCTGGAATGTAGGCCTACAGAGAATGCAACATTGGTGATCAAATCCATTTCAAGAAGACCCCTTCAAAACGACTGACATCATTGAAGTATTCTTCAAATATGATTTATTCAAGTTTCAGAGCCTATTTAAATGTCTAGAATTGGACCAAAATGTTAAAACGTGACTAAAGATGACCAGTTTACAGACCAATAGCTAATGTGTCACTGCTCTAAAAATGGCATAGGTGTGGCTTGAAAATGTGTGAGTCTCAGTCTGGAGGCTGAATGATAACAGAACCATTCCAACAGTTTCCCTGAACATCCTCATTCAAAGCAGAGAGCAAACAAGTAGTACGATTAGGTCTATTTCATGTTTTCAACAGCATGAAGTTAGCAAGCCGTCTACCTAACGTTAGCTAGCTAGCCATCTAGATAGATCTGCCTTGCAACAATGTTCTGAGAAATCCGCACACTTAACACTAGCTGTCACAACACGGGCGTGTTGATTTGGCTATAACTACTTACAGACTGCTTGCTAAAAACCAACCATGACTGATTCTCAAGCAGGAGCCAACTATCTAGCTAAATAAGTAGCTAGGTACTTGGCCATATATATGCTTGTCTGCAGAAAGTCATTCATTAGGCAATAGCAAACAGAAACACATCGATACACAGTGATTGAATCAGATTACAACAAGCTGTTGCACAGTGGGGATGCAACGTAGATAGCTAGCCATTTCTGTGTAGTATGGTAACGTTAGTTTGCTTGAGCTAGCTATCCAACAATCTACCCAATCTCGCGATTGTTTTACAAACGTTTGTAAAAGCAAACCTTCTAGCTAGCTAACTAACTACAGTGAGTTGGTGATAGTTAGGTGAACGGATAGTTAACTAATGTGTGCATGCGATGCTAGCTATGAAAGTTAGCTACCTAGCTAGCTAACCTTGCAAAGCCATGGCTAGCTAACGTTTGCTAGCTATACAGACAAAACATAGCTAGCTAATGTTAGATAGCTAGCGCACTTAGCTGGCTGATTTGCGAGTAAGTTAGCTACAGTATATCGTACCTTCATTAGGGTCTTAACCTCGTCCAGGTCTCCATTTTTCAAGGCCCACATCAATTCTTTATCCCCCATTTTATTGTGTTCAACAGTTCACTGCGGCTTCCCTGTTGAAAAAGGCAGCTGTCAAAGCAATGCTAACGTTAGCTGGCTGGATATCAAACTTCTCTCAAGGCAAGCAATGCTTGACAGATCTCTCCGTGGTCAAAGGAAAGGCGGCTATAACATTTGCAGCGTTACAGGAATTAAATAATTTGCTAAATTGAACACCTGGTACTTCTAGATTGCAGGCAATTGTTAAAAAATAAAGTTTCAAAGAAAGGACAGCAGAGGAGGGGTCCGCCTTTCTCTCATGAATCGTTTCCGATGCCGCATACCCGGAAGTTAACCTTTCCTTTCCACTAGATAACAGAGCCACAAAGTCAAACTTGGCTAGATCTGAACAATCAAATTTTTTAAATTAAAATGTAGGGTTAGGCATAATGTTCGCAGTGTGGTTAAGGTTAGGTTTAAAATCACACTTTAAGAAGATAAATCCAGGCTCTGTCGTAGCCGGCCGCGACCAGGAGACCCATGGGGCGGCGCACAATTGGCCCAGCGTCGTCCAGGGTAGGGGAGGGAATTGCCAGCAGGGATGTAGCTCAGTTGGTAGAGCATGGCGTTTGCAACGCCAGGGTTGTGGGTTCGATTCCCACGGGGGGCCAGTATGAAACAAAAAAAAGTATTAATAATGTATGCACTCACTAACTGTAAGTCGCTCTGGATAAGAGCGTCTGCTAAATGACTAAAATGTAAATGTTATGTAAATAAATTGTAGAAAGGGGCGGGGTTTATGACTGTGTGGCTGTGGTAATTAGTGACGACCCGAGAACGCAGATCTTCTTCTTCTTCGTGTGATTTTCCGGCGGATGAGACGCTTTTTTTGAGTTTTGCAGCCTTTCTCAGTTCGGAATGTGAATTCCACATTTGTGAGCCCCAAAAATATATGTAAATGTGAACGGGAAAAATTTTTTTTGCACCACCCACTAACCCTTGCACCTATAAAATCAAAACACCCCCTTATCCCACAACTTGTCTCTAACCGTTCCTACTCCTGGCCACTAGCTTGGAAGGACAGGACTCCTTCTTTCAACATCTCCTTTAACTTTTATGCAGTAAAATCTTTCACTCCCAATAACTTCCCAGCTATCAATGAGGAATCGGCCCAGAAGAGGCCCTCTTCCGGGGGCCCGGAACTGATTGAAACAGGCCGGAATCGGGTGTCGGACTCGGCCCGGAATCAAATTGAATGACTGCCCAGAATCGGCCAAAGTACATCAGCCGTTTCGGTCTACCGGAATTCAGGCGACTTCGCCGGCATCTTACCAGAATCCCCCCAGAAGATGCTAATTTAAATGTATACAAAATTACGCGATATAGTAATTTTAAATATTACTCATGCATATTATACTCATTCACAAAGTTTAATTTTGTATCCCCTTTTCAATTGGTAGTTACAGTCTTGTCCCATCGTTGCAACTCCCGTACAGCCTCTGGAGGCGAAGTCTGGCCTCAGAAGGCGAAGGCTGGCTGCAACACAGACGGGTATCGAAGCAGCATCTGTAGCAACGCAGCTTCCACTGCGATGCAATGGCTTAGACTGCTGAGCCACTCGGGAGGCCCCATCCACACATTTTTAATGCTGATCAATTGCCTTGCACAAAGTATCAAAATACTAAAATACTACTTAAACAGGAAAGACTCTTAAATAATTTAATTTAAATGTTTATTTTATTTTTTGATCACAGAAACAATGAGAAAATATGGAAAAATAAATAAACGTTAATTATATAAAGCAGCCCGTGTAATCATCTGCCAGAGTAGCCACAATCGGCCCGAGCCCCAAGTAATATATTTGGGCCTGATAACTCACACCGGAATCGGCCCAAGCTCAATCCCCGCATCCTAGCCATAAGTAATACTGCCGAAGGCGGCCCAGACTCGGATCACATGATGTCAGCCGAGTCTGACTCTCAGCCGAGTGCCCCGACTCTCAGCCGGAATCGGCCCAGATCCACTGTGCTTGCTGGGTTTTCTGCTGCTGCTACTACTTTTACCTAATATATATATATTTTTTGTCATTTAGCAGACACTCTTATCCAGAGTGACTTACAGGAGCAATTAGGGTTAAGTGCCTTGCTCAAGGGCACACCAACAGATTTTTCACCTAGTTGGCTCAGGGATTAGAACCAGCGACCTTTCGGTTACTGGCACAACGCTCTTAACCACTAAGCTACCTGCCGCCCATCTTCTGCGACTTCCGTTCCTTTACATCTGTGCTGTACAATTAATTACCATAGCAATGAACGCCAAGAAACCAACCTCGCTAAAGCACAAACTGTTCGGGTCACTCATTCCTGCCCTACTACTTACTGGTATTCTCTCATGATCCCTTACTTTTTGCCCATCATCCTCTACTTTCCTCACTGCCTCAGCATATGTCACTTTCTGCACTGCTCAAACCTTGGGAACCTCAACCTTTCTCACTCGCACATGATCCCCAGCAACTACTTTTTCCTCTGAAACTACACACTCCTTTGTCCCATGCCCTCCTGCACACTTCCCACACCTCGGAATGTCCCTCCTACACACTGCTGCAACATGACCATAACCTTGGCACCCACAAATGCTCTCACGGGATAACTAACATATCCTAGCATTACTTTATCAGGCAAACACTCAATATCAAAACTCAAAAGGAAAGACAGGGTCTCCTCAGTCTCACGCTCGCCATCGGATCTGCATCTCACCAAATGGCGAGCATCACAGATGCCAGTGATCTTCAACTTCAGATGATCCATCTCCACACTCAAAGCCACCTTAGTAATCACTACCTTCAGCGGTGCTCTGCTCCGAAGGGCATAGCTAGACACAGCTCTTGTCCTGAGGTGCGTGACACAGTGCGTTAACTCCCTCTGGGCGGAAGACACACAGAAAATCAATATAAGTCCACTTCTGGATCCTTTGACTGAGTTAACAACACCCAGCTTCTCCTCCACCCAGCCTGATACCACAAATGGGTCAGCCAAAAGACATGACTCTACTTTCTCCACGAAACGTACTCCCACTGGACCAGAGTCATCTCAGGCATATCCCTCATTGAGGTGAGGCTCGGAAGCCATCACCACAACTGTCAATGCAGGTTCTTCCTCTTCACTTTGTTGGATTCGATTTCTGAACTTCCACTATCCGACTCCATCTCAGGGTTTTCGGGAGAGGAACATGTGACTAATATTCCATGGTATATCATTTTATTCTATACTGGTGAAGTGTCAGAGATGGTTTTTAATGCATGCAATCTTCTAAAAGTTGAGACATAGTAGGTAGGTAAGTAACACAAGGTTACAAAAAACAGTTACCACTGTGTGTTTTTAAGTTTAACTAGGCAAGTCATTTAAGAACAAATTCTTATTTACAATGACTGCCTACACCGGCCAAACCCGGACGACGCTGGGCCAATTGTGCGCCGCCCTATGGGACTCCCAATCACGGCCGGTTGTGATACAGCCTGGAATCTAACCAGGGTGTCTGTAGTGACGCCTCAAGCACTGAGATGCAGTGCCTTAGACCGCTGCGCCACTCGGGAGCCCACACATTTGTGTGTGTGTGTAACAAATGTGTTTAATTAAGCCATTGCTGAATAATTTGGTGTTCACATAAGTGATGAAATAAAAAGGAAGACAGAGCTTTATTTTACTAGAAAGGCTCGGCCCAGACCATTAAGTTTGTTAGTTTGGGGGCTGTAAGGCATGTGGTGTATCAGCTCCTTTCATCACTCAGTCAGCCCAGAGGAGTGTGACTGGCTCTGGGTGGGAGAGAGGAAGTAACCCCCCATGTCCTGGCATCTGCTCTTCACTCCATGGCAATTTCCATTTCCATTACCTCCCTCTTGCTATTGAATGGGACATCACTAATAGATACCAGGTCTGCTGAACCCACAGGTTAATAAAACACATCAGGACTAAACCAAGCTCCTGATGGGGAGAAATAGCGGCTGATTGAACATCTTATCAAAGGTTCATGTCAATCAATGTGAAGGGGCAAGGGCAAGGTCAGAGCAAGAAGTTCAAGGCTATGGGAAGATCTCAATTGCATACTCCTCGCATCCTCTCTCCTCGTCTCCTTCTCAAAACCCATTGGATGAGAATGCCAGAGGTCCCCCCCCCCTGACCCCCCCCCCCCCCCCCCCCCCCCCCAACCCACGCTATCAAATGGCTCTCTCTGTGATGTATGGCTGTTTGTAGCACTATTATTACATCAAATAAGCACTCTGGAGAAAAAACTAACCCGGTCAGCAGACGAAAAGCGACTATAAAAGTCGCCATTTGGAGAAAATTCAATAGAGCTCTACACTGGGGATAAAAATGAAGGTAATGATATTCTCTAGCTCTCCTCTTCTCTCCTCCAACACCCTGCCTGCAGCCCAGCCTCTTCCCCTGTCCCCCCACTCTTCTAAGCCCAGTAGATATACAATACACACACTGCTTGTCTAAGAGGCTCAGGGTGGCCATTAAAGCTGCTTTATGTGTTTGTAATAAACTCTCAAGAGTACGGGTTGGAGTATCTATTCACCACATGGGGATGAGGACATAGGCCATTACTCCTTACATTCCCCTGCTTGGCATGCTGATTTCTCATACATGTCTCAAATTAGTCCCCACTGGGTGATCTAAAGTTCATATAGTGCAGTGGTCTAAGGCACTGCTTCGCAGTGCTAGCTGTGCCACTATATATCCTGGTTCGAATCCAGGCTCTGTCGTAGCCGGCCATGACCAGGAGACCCATGGGATGGTGCACAGTTGACCAGGGTAGGGGAGGGAATGGCTGGCAGGGATGTAGCTCAGTTGGTAGAGCATGGCGTTTGCAACGCCAGGGTTGTGGGTTCGATTCCCACGGGGGCCAGTATAAAAAAAAATGCACTAACTGTAAGTTGCTCTGGATAAGAGCATCTGCTAAAATGTAAAAAAAGATATTAGCAGCAGGCTGATATGTTGATGGTTGGTTAAAACTCAAATGGATGTTCTTGGGTGCTGTTG